TCAAAGGAAATAGAATTGATTTTAAAGAATGCAAAAACGTAACCACTGTGAAACTTGTGAGAAGTATAACATTTCTGAGTAGTTTTCTCTTCTTTGTGATTTTCTTCTCAGGCGTAAACCTTTCTCAAAGCTTTGAGAGACCTGATAAGTATTTTCTACTCTGATAAATCTAAAGAAAACTACTGTAAATTTTTCAAGAGTACAGAGATCCACAGTGTTATAATAAGGCTAAGCACCTCTGCTTTTACAGTGAAAGAAGAGCAACTTACATTTTAAACATCTTATTTCCTCCTGAGACTTCACCAGCCTTCCGAAAATCCCGTATTCTGAAGCTGAGAATGTTACAGAAAGGAGATGAAATTTCAATCACTGTTTATATTCCTTAGGTAGAGCATTAGAGCATATTCCTCTGGCACACATTATTTTTGGTAGGAAGCTAATAGTTAGTATGGTTGCAGCCCATCCTTTTGATTGTTCTAAGTAACAAAACGAAAATGAAGTATCTCACACAGCCAAACCTATTTATGTGCCTAGTTGGTATTTATTTTCAGATTATTGGCCATTGCTGAAGACACAGTGGTCAGAAGCAAGCATTATTAAGTCTGCGGGCTTGTATATAGTATCCACAGACATGATAGGAATGTGTTCTTGTGGAAGGTAAAAGTCCCATTTGTTTTCATTTAGATAGCTTTCAGTAAGCTTTTAAATCTTTTTAAAGACCTTGGTAAGCTTCGTTTTGAATGATCAATTGGGAAACATCATATTTAAAACATTGCTTTATTAAAGTCAAATCTTGTGTAGGAATTGAATCTGGCAATTAGACAGAAATGGGAAAAAAGAGTTTGAAATCAAAATAATATATAGCATGTAGTTCACAGCACTCATTGTCATCCTTAGAGTTGTATGATACAAGAGATGTAACGTGGTCTAGTGTATTCCTGTTCGTACTGTGATACCAGGAACTTTTTTAACCAGCAAATCTGTGCTTTTCTCAAATATTTTATCAAGCTATGGCTAAGCCTTGCTATGGGAATTTACACTTACCTAAGAATGCGTTTGAAATTTACCACATTAGGGCTAGCAGTGAAATCCGTATGACCTGATGATACTTATTATATGTAATTCCTTCATGCTCAAGAAGTCTAGTTCCTTTTTAATATTCTTTGAGGCAATTCTGCAAGGTGTTCAGGACCTGAAAACTTGGAACTTTAACCAAGGATTTAAGTATCTCCCTGTTGATCTGTCCACTTTTAACAATACACTGTTACGTTTACTTTTTGAGTGGAGTAAATAGACACGTCTTAAACATATATATTAACAGTACTGCCAGAGGTCAACTATGACAATTCCAAAAGCATCAGATCTTGCCTGTACATAGGAAAACAACTCCAAGCTCACTTCAGCTAAGGTATTCCAAACGGACAATTTCCGTTTTGTTGGTATGTGACTCTTTCACTTAGTCACTAATAGCCTGTACAAAAGAGGGCAAAGAAGCACTGGATCTATGCCTTTAGTACTCTTTGTTGAGAACGCTTTTACTTTTAAAGTTTATGCGAGAAGTTCTGTACTCCAGTCATTCTGAAAACACCTGGTGGGGTCTTCAAAAACGCTTCTTAGTTGCAATGCTTCGTTACACAGAAATTGATAATGGCTGACAGTTTAGGGGCTCTGATGCTAGAAGGTAACTAAGTTAAAAGGCTGGTTAGTACATAGTCTTCGGACAGTTTCTCCAAAGCATCATCAAGAGCCATCTCTATTAGGCTTTTCTGCTCTGACTTGCCACTCTCTTCACTAGTGTACAGGGAGGCTAGCTTCCTAATTTAGACATTTAAAGTCGTTGTCATAGGCCATGTGAAAACTGTGATCTGTTAGTATTGCCTAAGCTTTGTTTTTACACTGGATGAATCTTTACTCTTTCAGAAAGCATGGTTTGTTTTTAACCTTTATAGACCTCCTTTTCCAAGCAGTCATTTCCACGAAAGTTTATACTCTCTCAAGTAGTCCCACTGAGCTCAGTACATGAGCAAAGATTATTTCTATGAGTAACATTTCGAGAATCTGATTCTGCCCTTTTTTGTTTTGTACAAGCAATGTCAATTTTCTCTTGGACATGCCTCTTGAAGAGGTCCCTGCATTTTCTTCTTTTTTTTTTTTTTAACTTTAGTCTTCTTGCTGGTCTTACACAAAAGAATGTGTGTTAGGAAAGGGGAATCCTGTGGTAATGGTAACTCAGCACTTTTCCCTGCTCTGTCCTGCTTCATTTATAAGTAGCAAATCTACCTGGTATTGCCATTTTATTTTTATAAAATACTACTTTTTTACATTGTTAACTTTGAATGAGAATCAAATTGAAATTCAGTGTGAAGTTTGACATGCTAGCTATTACTGCTGCTACGCAGCACAAAGTGTCTTGAGAGTCCTGTGTTTTTTATGTTGGAGGTTTTAGTGGAGAAAACATTTTTCATTTGTGTGACTGCTGTTCTAGGCTAACCTGCAGTCCTAAAAGAAATGAATTTAGTGGTCCGAGTCCTGTCCCTGGTGAACAATAGGCCATGTTAGAAAAATAGCAAGCACACACTACACTGTCAGCTTCTGCTCTGGAGACACGCAGACCTAGGCAAACATGGAGGCAGAATTACCTCACACTCCAGGGAGTGATTTTTCTGGGTGAAGATTGAGGTCATTCATAAGCCAATAGGGAAAAGCATATCTTGTAAAATTGGTCTGTGCATCAGCCAGTGAGAGTAGTCCCTGGTTGTTGCTGCTGTGGCCTCATTGCTCGCCTTGGTGAGAGACACTATAATCCAGGATCTCTGGCATTTAAGATCACCTGAGACAAGTATATGATTAACTTGTGTGGCAGAATATATCAGCAAAGATTTGCATTTATGGAGATGTTATTAATAAGTTATTTGTTGGAAACAATACCTTTATATGGGTGAATTCCTATTTCCACTACAATAAGCGAGTGTTTTGCCTTTACTTAGAGAGCTGGGATGTCACTGTGAAGGTGCTAGCCGTGTAGTAAACATACTAATTTATGTTCGTTAGTGCACTCTTAACAGTATCTCCTATTCATTAAGATGTTTTCCCAAGAGTTACTGTAACATCGAAGCTGAGAGGCCTTGAGCAGCTGTCATTTTTGTGGTAAATGGATTAAAACAGAAAATGTTCAGCACTCCTCGGTAGATCAGTGCTCTGTTTCAACTAGGTCGTGCCAGGTTAATAAGTAAAGTATCAGGTTACTTTTTTCTTGTTGGGTAAAAAAAATAGTTAAATTTATTTTTAATTTGTACCTTTAGCTATTTTGGTTCAAAACTATGTGAGAACATTTTTATTTTGGAGTACAGTAACACAATTTAGATTATTTCATACTTGTCTCACATTAACTGGAAGTGCAAATTAAAATTAATTTAATTATTTTTATTTCATCTGCTCTGTGAATAAGCCTCAAACCTCTAGTGATTGTTGAACAGAGAAAGTAGTTTTAACATTAAAGAGAAATGAATTTGGGGTTATCTGAATCTGCAGAAAGCCTGAAAAAATACCTGACAAGTGTCAAGTTTCCCACTGACTTCACTGTGCTAGCTCAACTGCCCAGCAGTAGTCATTTACTTTCTACTCCATTAGTAGTCACCCTATCACTGAAGACTGAAGAAGGAGAGAGGATCACAGATTTGTACTGTCATCTGATTTTGGTAGTGTCTCACTAACTTCTGGCCTAGTTCATATAACGTCATTGCCATCACTGTAGAGCTTGTTCCTGGAAGCTGTCAAACACCAGACAGTGATGACACAGGGAGAGCAATTCTTACTCGGGCCAGGGCGATGGAGGAGAGCACTCTAAAGGTCCATTGCCACTTCCTTTTTTGTGATTTTGGCACTACAACCAGGGAACGTTTTTTTTCCAAAAACTGGTGTGCTGAACCAAAATAGTACATTGGAAAGAGGACCTAGAATGGAGGAGGAATGTGTTTCTGGGCCAGGCACCAGTGCGAGAAGATTCTTTGGAGTGTGGAAGCTCTGCTGGCTCATACAAACACCCAGCCCATAGTCTCAGAGCAACACAGTGGACTTGCTTCTGAGCTGGTTTTCTCCTGCCTGCAGACTGGGGCAGTTACAACACATCTTTTACCTTTAGCTTACTTTTTCCAGTTGTTTAGGTTTCTTCTGTAACTGCAAGGACTAGAATTAATGTGTTCTGATAGACTTCACTGAAAGCTTAGACCCAGACATCATCTTGCCTATGCCACAATCAAGCCCTCTGTAAGCTTACCTGAGAACCACGGGAGCAGAAAGAGAAAGGGGAGCCTTGCCCCAGAAGCGCTTATGGGCCTATTATCATATTTTAAAGAATTTGTCAGCTGGAGGAGTTGTCAGCTTTTTTTGGTTACCTCCGTGACTTCACCATCTCCCTGACCTCTGTGCAAAAGTCAGAGCTCTAATACTCCTTAGCCATGTGGGATTGGGAGTGTTATTTGATAGCAGCTATTTACACTTTTATCTTCCTTTTGATGTATATTTAACAAAACTTGGGACTTTGTTTAGTGTTTTTTTAAATTATTTATGTTATCATGCTGTCTGTCTATCCTGTATTTTAAAATGTATTTTGGCCTTTTTTTTAACCATATTCAAGTATGCCAAAGATACTAAGCCCAAGCAAATGCTGTGAAAACTGGCAGCTGTGGAGATGGGAGAGAGCCTGATAATGCTCCCACTGTGCAGAGGCTTGCCCATTACCTCACATAGAAAAATAATTCTGAGAGAGAGATTCTTGGGACACCATTCTTTTGCTTCTGCTATTTATGGAGCTACTTCTTTATTCTTAGAAATCCTTTGAGGTTACTTTTGTAAATTAAGCATCTAGTCTATGCAAAAGTGTCTAGATGGTTCCATGACAAGTGGTTTATTACTTTGTTTTGGTTGTACATGATCGCTGCATGTTCTGGTACCCTTAGTAAATCAGTGTTTTTCTATTTCTTTTCCTTCTCCTCCTCAAGATCTCTTTTGACTTAGCAGAATATACTGCTGATGTTGATGGGGTTGGTACTTTACGGCTCCTAGATGCTATTAAGACCTGTGGCCTTATCAACTCGGTGAAGTTCTACCAAGCTTCTACCAGTGAACTTTTTGGAAAAGTGCAAGAAATCCCACAGAAGGAGACCACCCCTTTTTACCCAAGATCGCCTTATGGTAAGGATTGCTGGTATGTGTGTGTGTCAGTGTCAGTATGTCTGTTCACCGTGCTCGTGTCTCAAGGCTGAAGTCATCTGGGTGTGAGATTAGAATGACGATAGAGCTAAAGTGACTAGACATGTCGAGAGGCATACCTTTATGAATTAGTATATAAAAAGTATTTGCTGCCATTGCCTGGGGGTTGGAAATTACTATCTCACTTCACAAGACTGTGTTCATTCAGATCAGAAGTGGAAAGCTCTTCTAAAGAGGAGGGGGAAGGGTGGTTATTCCTTCGCAAAGCATTGTAAGATAGTACTGAGGTGATAAGGTTTCATATTTTTTGTTGCCTAAATGAAAAACCCCTAAGAGCTCACTCCTTCCTTCATGAACTCTCATTAAATTTGAAACACTTATTGAAGCAATGTGAAGGGAAGACTTTGGTGATAAAGTTTCAAATCAATTTAAGTGTTAAGGCACCAGGTTTTCTCTTTTATTCCTCTAAAGTCATTTTTTTTATTAGCAGAGGTCACCACAGTGGCATATTTCACACGCTCTGGCTGTGTTAATTATATTGTAAAAGAAAAAGTGCTATGCTTGAGTGTGCATAAGAAAACAAGTGAGAGAGCATTTTAACACTTCCTGACTGATTCTGAGGTTGTACAGAAAAGGAGTATTTTCCCATTCAGTTGCTGTTTATTGGGCTGGATATTTTTTCCATATGAAACATGACACATTTAGGGAATTAATCGAATTCTAATGCACTCTTATTGAAAGGTAGACTTCACCTTGCTTGAGTGAGAGGTACATATATGTCTCTGTCTGAGGACTCTGTAGAAGCAGAGTGGATATACATAACATTTTAAAATTATTTTTTTTAGGGGCAGCAAAACTGTATGCCTACTGGATTGTGGTGAACTTCAGAGAGGCCTACAATCTTTTTGCTGTGAACGGCATTCTCTTCAATCATGAAAGCCCCAGGAGAGGTTAGAAAATCAATGTAAAACTGTTCCCAATTTTGTGTACATCCAACAGGAAAAATGAAACAATGCATCACAAGTTTCATTTAAACTTACCTGAATTCTGTAACAAGGATATCTGACTTGTTGCCTGCTCACTATGTTCAGCCCTGCTGGTAGTTTCAGAGTCTGCAGCATACCAGCTTTCACTTTCAAGCATCATATTCCATTGCATAGCCCTTTGGCTATGAAAAGAAGCTCGTGTATCTCACTTTGTGTATCAGTTCTCTCAGGAGGCTGCAGTAACGTTCCTGAGTTTTCTTTCCTTCTTGACAATATGTTGAGGTTAAAATTTTAAAACGACGTTTAAAAAGCAAGTTTTCTAAACATTTAGGTGGGCAACTGCACAATAGATGCAATTTCAGACCTGAGTTGTATTCGAGATTTTTATTTGCAAATAAACGTTGAGTTAAGAGGCGGATATAATAGACCCTCTAAATTTATAAGACTAATGAATGCAGTCTGGTGTAGTTTGGAAGTTTGTGGATTGTGACCCTGACCTTCTGACAAGATGGCTTTCAACACATGGCTTTAAAATGCCTTTCTGTTTAGCCCATAAAAACAATGCAACTTAAATTCCGTTTAATCATCCCTTTTCCTCCTGCAGTACTTTATGAACAATTAATATTGGTATTAAGTTTGAGTAAGAGTCCTGATTAAAAGTCTTCTATACAATGACAGATTTCCTCTGGCCTGAAAATACTGGGACTTTATGAAAACACTCTGAAATTGAATTTTAAATTAACAAACAGAAGTGGATTCTCAGCCTTTTATTGTGGTCTGTCTGCGAATGAAAAATAAATTCAAATTTTAAGGGAATGCAATTATGTCAATTACAGCCTGGTACAAAAAACGGTAATTTTAATCATATATACAAATATATAATAGAGCATAATTGCAACTCTGTAAGAAAAAGAAAAAAGGAAAAGAAAGGAAAGGAAAGGAAAGGAAAGGAAAGGAAAGGAAAGGAAAGGAAAGGAAAGGAAAGGAAAAGAAAAGAAAAGAAAAGAAAAGAAAAGAAAAGAAAAGAAAAGAAAAGAAAAGAAAAGAAAAGAAAAGAAAAGAAAAGAAAAGAAAAGAAAAGAAAAGAAAAGAAAAGAAAAGAAAAGAAAAGAAAAGAAAAGAAAAGAAAAGAAAAGAAAAGAAAAGAAAAGAAAAGAAAAGAAAAGAAAAGAAAAGAAAAGAAAAGAAAAGAAAAGAAAAGAAAAGAAAAGAAAAGAAAAGAAAAGAAAAGAAAAGAAAAGAAAAGAAAAGAAAAGAAAAGAAAAGAAAAGAAAAGAAAAGAAAAGAAAAGAAAAGAAAAGAAAAGAAAAGAAAAGAAAAGAAAAGAAAAGAAAAGAAAAGAAAAGAAAAGAAAAGAAAAGAAAAGAAAAGAAAAGAAAAGAAAAGAAAAGAAAAGAAAAGAAAAGAAAAGAAAAGAAAAGAAAAGAAAAGAAAAGAAAAGAAAAGAAAAGAAAAGAAAAGAAAAGAAAAGAAAAGAAAAGAAAAGAAAAGAAAAGAAAAGAAAAGAAAAGAAAAGAAAAGAAAAGAAAAGAAAAGAAAAGAAAAGAAAAGAAAAGAAAAGAAAAAGAAAAAGAAAAAGAAAAGAAAAGAAGGTGGATATCAATAGGCTTTAAGTAGTGATTTAAGTCTTCGGGAATCACAGCTGTGAAACTTGGTAGTACACTGGATAGGCAGCATTTACTTTAAATGGTGCATCAAATCCTTGGTGGTAGTAGCTGGTGTAGCACTTTTCATTGGAGCAGATGACAGTAGAAGTTGAAAATTAAAAGACAATTAAATTCATTAAATTGTTTCATTTAGAAACCCTAATACTTTGTTCTCTTTTAGCCAGTTCACTGCAGTATATTCTATGCACACCATATGATCTGATGTGCAAATAGCTCTATCTGTTTTGAGTTACAATGATACAGTTAAAACAGTATGACTGACATAAAAAGAGGGAGAATGCAAGGACAGTATTGGTCTGGCATAGTTTCTAGTGATAATAGAGAACTGAAGGGTGAGTTAGAAATTATATGAGTGCTTTTACCATTCACGCTGCTTTTCTATAGGCTTATGCCATGTTGTAGAAGAAAAATATCAGTGTTCCTTGCTATTTTAATCCAATAGGCTCCTCTGACATTTGTTCCAGCTTTGACACTGCTGTGAAGGATCTTCTGATACTCAATCTCTTTCCAACACATTTAATGTCCCTGTGGAGAAGCCAGGTCTGTGATTTGAAGTCTCAGGCTTTGCTTTTGGTTGTGTGTATGTTCTGAGGTAATGGTTAAGCCACTGTTGCTATGGACAGGATCCTTATCTTAGGAATAGTTTCAATTGTCTCCATTAGCCTTAGCAGGAATACAAGAAATGAAAGCAACTGTAACCACAGCCTGGTGCCATTTGCTTAGTCTTTTAATGCAAGAATGTCTGAAAAATTATGCAGAGAAGAAAAGGGTAGCAAAGTAGTTTGGAGGTTGCTTATCCCCTTAGTAGTCAGTCATTCATCATTTTCCTAATTTTTTTGAAGACTGCAAAGGCACTTTGGGAGGAAAAGGAGATTTAAGTGGGATACCTAATTCCTATAGGGAAATGGTAATAATGCTTGCAAGTGTTAAAACTGCTTTTGGTTTGACCTTTTTTCATTAGTATTCTGCTAATTTTAGAGGTTATAGAGAAATACCTAAATAGACCGATGCTTAATTTATTCCAATATGTCATACTATTATTCCAGTTGGTTTAGTGTTCCATTGAACTGATCAAATACAACTCTCAATTGACAATGATGCAAATGGGTCTTTTCTACAAGAAACATAATAACCAGGGAACCACTGAAGAGCAGAGTGGCTGTGCCACTTGCCGAGTTGCAGAGTTACACTGTCCAGGCAGATAGGACACATTTCATTTTTTCCATATATGAGGTGTTAATCATAACTCTGACATAACCCTGACATAACTCTGACTCTTCTGTGAGAACTCTGACCCATAACTCTGACCCATCTGTCAGACATCAAGTAGTGCAAAGGAAATACACAAACAGTATCTTTTATCCTCAAATGATGGTTTGTCACTGCATCCACATAGATTTTCACTGCTGTATTTCTCTTGAAATCAGTGTAATTATAACATGTAAAACTGGTACAACACAAAGGGAAACACATCTACAACTTCAGATAGAACTCTTTGGGAATAGTGCAGCATTATCAAATTGCACAATTACTTGGGCTCAGGCTCAAGAAATGCATGTGTATTTAATAGTGGAGAATATTATCTGAAGTCGCATATGGAATAAAAAACGTGGTTGTTTTGTACTAAATTTAATATTTATACATATATTTACTTACTTCCTTATTTTGAGGCTTTCTGTAGTACTCTCCTTTCTAGTTCTTTCTATTATATATTGCCTATTGCCTCGCATTTGTAAATAACCGCTTTTTGACTGCCACAAGTTTTTCTGCTCACACAGATCAATATGGCCAAATATTCACCGAAGTGATATGGTCACGTTGATTTATGCCAGCTGAAGATCTGGCATAGTATTTCAAGTGATGGTCTGGTAATGCAAGATAAGTTAGCATAATTTGCTTGCTTTTGGGAGAAGGCCAGTATCAATAACAGACCTTGCTAAAACTGGTGTCTTTAGTTCCTTTAAGCAGTTTTTATCCAGGTGTAGCTCCACTATTTCCTGATTTATGGTGAGGCCAAAGAAGAATGGGATCTTCCATTTGTGAAGTTTATTTATTTTCTAAATATAATGCTACCGGAAAAGCAGAATGCGTTCTGCAGTGGTGTGAGCTACAAGTTGGCCTTGGGAAGTTTTGGGAAGCTGGAGCCTAGCAACTTCCTAATGGTTGAATGTGGCTCCCAGTATTACCAGTGTGGAAATGTCTGCCCTATAGCAATGTTGGAAAGGTATTTCAGTTTAGTGAGATGACAGTTTTGACAGTGGAAGAGTGAGGCAATTAGCAAGTCTAGTTTTCAGGAAAGCTGGGGTTTGATCCAAGCCTTTTTGACACCATTGGAAAGATTCCTATTCTTCTGTGGGGCTCTGGATCTCACTGATACCTTTTTGTCTGAGTATGAAAACAAACTACTTGTTGACAATGTATGTCATTTGTTTCTTCCCAGACAAGCCCTTACTTTTTTTCTCCTTAGTTCTGTGTAAGAAGTTTCCTCAGATTTACAAGATGCGTCTTTGGATGTCTGAGATCAACTCTCCGATTTGGTTAACCACTTCATTGCTTGCCTCATCTGATCTTTATCTACCGAGTTGTACAAACATGTACAGCATGTTTTCTGACACAATGCAACAGAAGTTTTGTTTGTTTTTTGTTAGGTTTTTTTTTCCTGAGTAATAGATGCTTTGTCTCCACACATGACATCACTGTGCAGATCATTCAGTGGGGATTTTTGATTTGTCTGATACCAACTCTGGTAAAGCAGTTGTCATCAGACCATTGCTATATAGCCAGAGGGAAAGGATACAACTGCTCATTTCTGTGATCTCTCTCAGCCAGGAAGGAAATGGCTAGGTGTTAGATTGCAGGCTGAAGGCTGACAAAGTACAAGCAGTAAGAGTAAAATTTAAAGAAATCACGATCTGAAGAGAGTGGGGCATGCTCTTTGCTTTTTATTTTGTGTCTGGATGACTGTTTTGCCAGGAGGGAGCGGATTAGGGGTTTCCGCGTTAGCTGTAAATATGTTTGGGTGTCTTTTGAATTCATGTATTTCGTTCTTCCTTTTTTTTTTTTCCTGACACATTTTCAGTCTCCTTTTTTCTCTTTTTCATAGAGAGAGCAGTAGCAGATGGTGACATCTGCTAGGAAATTTCACAAAAAATCCCTGCAATGTGACAGCTGTTCTTCTGTGTCTCCTATAAAGAAAGGTAGCCAACATCTGCCAGACTTCCCTTTCACATTTCTTTGGTCGAGGAAACTAATTGCTGGTCTCCCTAAATATGTTCTGTGCAAGAAGAGCTGATCAAC